CCATTATCTATTTAGATAATGTCCATTTGACATCACTCGTAAGGAGTAAGGTTAAAAAAATATTACCTTCGAGGGTAATATTTCTTTGATGGGCTGCTCCACCTGATGGTTGATGTTCACGTTACATCAACCAGATTAACCACCAATCGCTTCTGAATGCGCGCAATGGGTGGTGAGCAAGAAACCCACATAGGAGATTGATGTTTAATATAGTGATCTCAAGACAAAGATGTTTATTAAGAAAAAACAACAATATTAAATAGAGTTCTACTTTCTCCCTTAGACAGAGCTTTCGAGTTCTGCCTACTTCGCTGCGCTTCCTCATGACACGTGTACGTGACGTCGGGTGCGCACAACCTTGTGTTGAATTGACACCAGGCGTGCCCCGTTACAGCAGAATTATGTGGTCATTCAGGTCCAGCACAGCATTAGTAAATCAACGACGCATCGACTCATGGCCATGAAAGAAATCGAATTTGAGGGCTTTGACCCTAATGTAAAAGAGAAACGACATGTAAAGCATCCTGAGCTCGAGAACGAGCTGCTGAAAGTCGTTCTCGAGCGCGAGAGTGACGGGTTATCTGAAGATCTGGTCTTGGAGAAAGCAGACCGACTGCGAGTGAGCCATGATATCGAAGATCACTATCTCAAGCTTTCCAAAGTCTGGCTTCGGAGTTTTAAAGAAGCGGAACAACATCAAAATCCGCGCGTTGACAGGCAAGAGCGGTAGCTTATGCATCGAGGATGTACAAACGGAAAAGTCTGGGTTCCGATCTCTTATTGAACAATGTTATCTGAGTTATGTGCTTAATGTTGACGAGGCAGCATTATTTTACGACTTGCCATCGAACAAAACCCTATCCACGGTTCAAAACAACGGCAAGAAGAGCGTAAATTCACGCGTAACAGTTGCTCTGTGCTGCAACGCAAGTGGCTGTGAAAAGCTGGAGACCATGATCATCGGGAAATTCATAAGCCAAGGTGCTCTAAGGGTGTGGAGATCGAGAAGCGTGGCATCATATATGCTGCTAACCCAAACGCCTGGATGGCTGTAATTGTCTTTGAAAAGTGGCTGCATCAATTTAGTTTTTGAAATCATGGTCGATAAGTCCTGCTACTTCTCGATAATTCTTCCAGTCACAAGTTCCAACGTGAACTCAACAACGTCAATGTGGTATTTTTCCCGCCTAGCATGACTTCCACCATCCAGCCGCTCGATGCAGGTCCGCATTCATCTCATTATTTATATATGTGCGTCTTAAATCTACATTAATTTCCCTACTTGCGTATATGTTATGAAGGTATCATCCGATCGTTTTAAGCTCGCTACAAGAAACTTCATATGCGATGGCACATGGATTTGATCGAAGCAAACATGGAACGCAGACTGAATGTCCTACCAGCCATTGAGTTTGCAGCTGAGGGTTGGCACAGTATTGGCGGGGAGATCATTTGAAGTTGTTGGATCAAGAGTGAGACCATCGAAGCGCCACAGGTTGCGGATTTGCGTGCACAAAACGACTATCGACTGTCCTGCCTCGCTTTTCATCAAGACTGCTGCGATCTGGCTGATATGTTTCAAAAGCTTGGTGTAACCGTTAGCGTGGATGATTATGTCGAAATCGAGGACCACGAGCAGATTCTCGAAGACAAGAAGCTATGATTGAAGCAGAAGTGGAGCCCGCGGAAGTCAAAAGCGACGAAGACCAAGCGCCTGTCAGTGCAAAAGAAGCACTAAAGTGCTGCCTGCTTTTGCGTTCGTGCTTCATACGCTCAGATGAGGACACGCGAATTATACGGTCAGATCTGGATAAGATGTAGTCGGTTATACGCACGAACCGGCACGCTAGGGCGAAACAGCTCGACATGAGAGGCTCCATACAGTAGAAAAACGTTACATTTCATTATAATCGGCGGGTCACGCTTTAAAAATATCATGCAACTTCTTCCTTTCAAATTCTTTATAAGAGTCTTTTTATAAGACACGCTGTAAAAATGGGCACAAAGTTGTCTCTTATAGAGAGGGTGAAAGGATACTGCTCTAACACTTATTAAAATGTGAGCTCATTTAGTTTTTTATAGCCAAGATTAGGCCTTCAGTTTCCATTGACAAGCTTACACGCCCCATTTATCACACACGCTAATATAATCGCCTTCCACTTCATTAATGCTAATTTCATTCATTTCTCTAGGGCCACGTGTAGACGAGCTTATCTTGTGCGCGGTCATCATGCTGACTTTGATACGCATCGATATAGAGCAATCGAATTGATGTAAGAGAAGGTCGCGCCGCTCCTCGCCATCACCTCCAATACGCCCGAGCACCGAATGGTACTATTCGAATACTACGTCTTGACTTGGCTCAAGAAAGGTGGATCTGCGGATCAGGATGAGACTTTGTCGCACATAATGAGACATCGCATACATCGGCAGTGCACGCGAAGACATGCGCTGCTTAGACGATAGAAGGCAATGGCGCTGGTCATACTGATCATCGACGGTATGATGAGTGGGCCACATCTGAGCTTGTGCACACCCAGCGAGTCTAGTGAAGAGCATTAGGCTATAGCGCATGCGGTCTGCATGCAGCAGGCGTCAGACATCAAAGGAAGTAGGTGGATGGCGTATTGACAATGCAGGGATCAACGGAAACAACGTACTTGATACCATCGATCTGGATCATGTCCATGTACAGATTATGCAGACCGCGTCGAAAGCACCCGCATGCAAGCCTAAATGAACCGAAATTGAGCGACTTTCGACGCAAACTATTGATGGTGCTGGAACAGTCGCATCGAGGCACTACCATATACGCCTCACATCAACGTTGTCATCATCATTGGCATTCATTTCTAGCACAACGACAAACACAACTTCTGGTGCACCCGCTTCTCGGCTTCGAGAGAAGATTAACGGCCGTCTCCCGGGTCAGATTCATGGAGAATAGCTTCGCGAGGTACGTCGTCAATCAGTGCGATGTGCTGGATTACACATTGCTGAAATGTCCAGTATCACTCATCGATCGTTGTCGGCATCCAAAGACAGTAAGATGAGTGGACTTTGGACGTTTAGGCCATCCACTGGTCTTTTGACACAGCGGAAACGGCGCTACTGGCTTCAGCGCGGTCCAACGTTGACGTCATGCCACTTTACCGAAGCATGGGCCGAATGGCGGATGACTGGCGTGACAATAGAGACTGAGCTGAGATCGAGCGCTAGCTATGGCCGCCAATGAGACCAGAAGCTATATCGTTTTCGTCGGATTTGTGCAAATGAGCGACTCGACCAGACGGTAGCAGCAATCCGAATGCTTTCAGGAACGACAACGCGCAATCAGTCAGCAGCACTCTGTCGGACACCGCTTGACACAAGACGCCGGGTGTACTTCCGGGCACTCGTCATTCGCCTTGTACCTGTATATGCCTTGCGTCGCTTAGGGGACTGAATCTCTTCCGACCATGCTTTTTACACTCAGCTTGGTCGCACTTGCCTCCAAATCTGAAGCAGCAATATGCTTCGAATCGCTCGCGGTTGCTGGGGTCGGTCGGACGCCTAGCCATCGAGGTGAACTAACGTTCGTTCAGTGCCCGAGTCGCTACGTTCAGGGCGTCGACACTCGGCAAAGTAGTTAAAGCGGTACAAAGCGCCGACTGCGAGATAGCCGCGTAGTTAGTATACAAGATGAGTATATAACCCTCATACGTTTCTGAAGCGATGAAAAGTGCCATTTCAAAATCCGCTTTTCAGCTGTAAGCGAAACAACATAAACTACGAAGTGGCGCTCTGTGGAAGTCGAGAGAAATAGGTCATAAAAATGTACTCAGCGCCCTCAAACGCGACTGACCTCAACTTGGGAGCTGACATTGCTGGGAAGGAAAGACGCCCACATGAGCCAATGAGAACCACTTGGCCAGAGATGTGGAAGACCTCATCAGTGTCGTTGTCCTCGAGTCTTGTGGGATAGTACCGAGCGCTTGTGTCGGTCGCCTGGCGAAACAACGAGCCGCAAAAAGTCGTCGAAAAGCCGTAGTGTTCGCTGAAAAGCAGTCGCAAGCAGCAGCTTCATGCCTCTATCTTATACCTTCCGCATGTAGCACAGCTGCCGTTTGTAAGGCGAGTGAGCGAGACACGAAACATGACATCGCGCAGCTGTTGTTGCGCGGCAAAGTCTCATTTGAGCAGAGCCAACGCCAATCAATCAAAGCCGAACAGCGTCTGCGCGACGCGTCCATGAATTATGTATGTTGTGGTCACCTCTGTCGTGACCGACGGACTGTTGAGCGGTCAAGCGAGTCAACTCGTCCTGAGCCACGAGGTGGAGAGAAAGCTGTGGGCGCGCGAGCGACGCAAAGCTCGAGTTTCGGTGTCTGACTCGACGATCCGACTGCAGCAGCAATGGCTCTTTTTTCTTCCAGTCTGTTGGACTGGCGCAGAGGTCGCGGGCGATCGGCTCGTAATTGACCGACACATGTGACACACATCCTCCTTCAGGCGCAACCCGCTCGTTCTGAAGAGGGATTTGCACACGTGTTGTAGCAGGGGACACACACAGCACGCGCGGAGGGGGGGGGTGCTCGGACACGGGAAATACATTCAGTCAGCTAAAGAGCGAGACCGCGAGTGGGTGTTGTTGTATGAAAGGACATGCGTACAGGCGGCGGCCAAGTCGCTGCGAAAGGATGGGATCCGATATGTCCCGCTTTTCTTGCCAAGAGGCCGTTCCTTCTGTGTGAGTGTGTGAGTGTGTGTGTGTGAACGACCTGCACTGCTACTTGTGCACTCGTTTTGTGGGGAGCACTTGGCGGCCAATAGACGAGCACACGTGTGTGCGACGCCTCGTTGTGCACTGCTACCACACCTGCAGACGGGTGGGGCCGCCACTTTCTCTCTTGTCGACGGGTTGACACCGACCGATTGACCGACTGACTGAGATACACAGAGAGAGAGCGAGAGAGCGAGAGGTATCTCACGACCGGCAGAGTAGTGTCGTCGCAGGGGTCATGAGCCACCACCGGTTTCCACTGCGCGAGACGGTGTTCCCGCCGCTGCACCTGTCCGAGGCGACCAAAGCGCACTTTGTCGACAGAGCGCTGAAACAGCTCACCGAGGCGCTGCAGGACTACGACAGGTACCAGCAATGGCAGGCGACCCGACCCCCGAGCCTTCGGTACCAGTTGCACCCGGCAATGTGGAAACCGCTCAAGTCCTGTGAACAGCTCACGGTCTACCGCCGAGTCGCGAGCGACGAGGCCGTCGTAGCGGCTCCCTCTATAGTTGAAACCAGGCGACGTGCACGGAGTCGGACGCTCGAGGATGTCAGTGTCCCCACGACGTCGTCGTCGGTCGCGATGACCGCAGCGACTTCCGACTCGGTGTCGTCCGCGCCGGCCAATGGGTCTGTCCCCACAGTGACCTCGTGGTCCCGTTGTCCGGAACGGTCTCCGGGGGCCACGACGAGCACCACCGAGTGGGCGCTGCCCACGCTGCTGCAAGTGGGAACGATTGAGGGGACGCTGGACGACGTCATGTACGGCGCAACGTGCTTCGACGCCGCGGGGGCGTTGATCCGCTCGGCCTACACGGACGAAGAGGTCGTGGACGCCGACACGCTGCACGAGTTCCAGGGCCCGACCGTCGACGACCCGTTCCGGTTCCTCGGCCTCAAGTGGCTCGTGCGGTCGGCGCCGTCGACGGTCAAAGCGTTCGTGTGGCCGCGGGACCTGACGTTCATTGCCGCAACGGGAGTGCTCACGCGTCCCGGCGGCGACCGCGTGGGCTATCAGGTCATGCGGTCGGTCGACCTCGGCAAAGGCTTTGGGCCACTGGAGCACCAGCGGATCATTCGGGCCCGCGTGTCGGCGTGTTACCTGTATCGCCAGACGTCGGCCAATACCGTCGACGTCCACATGAAGACCAACTTTGAGCCGAGTGGGTCAGCGCACGAGAGCATTGCGCTCATGTTTGCCGTCAACAGCCTCACGAGCTGCTTCAAGTCGGCCATCTGCGCGCAGAACAAGAAGCTGTCGTGGCTACTGGGGCACCCCGCGATCGCTGAGAAGGCGGACGCGGGGGCCGCGATGCCTGGGAAGAAGAAGCAGCGCGTCGACTGCCGCGTGTGCTCGAGACCCATCGGGCCGTTCTCGCGGGGCGCGAGCTGCCGCGTGTGCCACGCGCGCGCCTGTACGACGTGCTATGTCAAGAAGAAGCTGAGCTTCTCGGGCTCGGGGCACAAGACCATTGAGCACCACGCGATCGTCATCTGCACGCACTGCCTCACGTTCGCGCGACAACTGGCGTCGCTGGACATCGCGCGCCAGGAAGTGGCCGAGCGCGAGCGCTTGGGGCGACGACGGGGGCTGCTCTGTCGCGCGACCGCTGCGTCGATGCGCCGCGGCCTGCGGTGCCGGAGCAACAGTCGCGTCAACACGGGCAAGCAGCTCCTTTCGAGCCGGCGCAAAGGCCGAGAGATCTCGAGAGCAGACGTCGGGCGAGTCGTCGGCGCGGCACCGCGGCGGGGAACGAGTTGGTCGCCCCGTCGGACACGTTCGCAGCGCAAGGAGACGTCGAGCCCACGTGCTGTCTCGGACGACAACGCGGACACGGACGACGAAGACGACGACGACGACAAGGGCGGGGACGCCACGCACTGCGTTCCGGACCAGCCGCGCCGGAAAGCCCAGTCGACGCCAAGCGACTGCAGCCAAGTGCCTCGCGCTGGCACACGTGCGGTGCACGAGACCGACGACGACGACGCTGCAAGCCCTGTGATGGCGGATCGAGCGCTCCATGCTGACGCGCTTGACGATTGCTGGCACGTCGTGGGGTGGCGGCCGACGGCAATGGCGACGGGAGTGCCGATATTAGGCGATGCACTGCCTGAAGCAGCGGAGCAGTACGCGTGGGGAGCGGCGGTCCCGTCGCCGATCACTTGTCCACGAGTGGAGCCTCAGGCTGCGTGGCCGTCTCCGCCATCGCTGTTGTTGTCGCCGTCAGTGGCACTGCTAGCGCAGACGGAAGCGTCGAGGCGGATGGCTCGAGACGGTCGATGTGGTGGCAGGACGCCGCATATGCCGCTGCCCGCGATTCCTCGCATCAAGTCCGGAGCGTCGGTGCAGGAAGTGTTGGCTCAGTTTGCCGAGCTGTGCCACGCGGCCGATGCTGTGTACTGGGCCGCGCGGAATCACGCGGGCAATCCCTTGGAGCCGACGGTGTGCCCACGGGGACGGATCTCTCGCCTCGACATGAGTGCAGTGGACTAGTAGAGCTATCGAGTATCGCGAGTGGCCTTCGCGTAGTCAGTTGGTCAGTCGTCGGTCAAGACGAACCTCGTGCTGTGTGTTATACCTGTCCGACAACGTCAACACGTGTAGCCATTAGTCATTTTTATCATCGATACAACAAACACCGCCTTGTCGACAATAGCGTCGCGTGTGTTTTGTTTACGTGCAACGTCGTTCCCATAGCATCATCAGTCGTCGTTCATTATTCCATTACTCGTCGCAGTCGTCTGCGCTTTTGCTGCTCTCACGTAGCAACTACTGTGCGCTCGCTCGCATTCATACCCTCTGTCTTTCGTCTGTGGTCTGCTTCACACCTGATACGCCTGCAGCATCGCGGGCGCACCGGCGTGGATCTGGTCGCACTTGAGCTGGACCGCCATCTGGCGGATCGCACTGGCGCTGCGCAGACAGCCCGTGGTCCGGTCGTTTCTGGCCGAGCCAGGGATCTCGAGCCGCTCGCGGACGTGTTTGCGCACGCCCGCGACGCGGTGCCCCACGGCCACGGAGCTAAACACGGCGGCCAAGAGGCAAATGGCAAACAATACGAAGTGGCCACACAGGAGCGCAGTGACCGTCAGTACCAACAGCACCAAGCGACTCGTGTAGGCGAGAAAGCCCAGCGTGAGTCCGAGCGGGTACGACCGCACGAGACCCACGCGCGTCTCAAGCTGTGCCAGTGGGAAGCACGGGCAGCAGCAGACCCACCAGTAAAAGGCCGTGCGCCAGTCGCCGTCGTCCAGCGCAACGGTCCACTCGTTCATGCGGAACCCGTTCGGGTCGAACGCAGTCGACGACAAGTTGGGGGTCTGCACTTTGTGGTCGGGCGTCAACACGCTCACGTACTCGTCCACCGTCGAGCCGTCGCCGACGAAATTAGGCATTGCAGGCAAGCGGCTCTGAGAAGATGGCATCTTGTCCGTCATGGCGAAAAAACAGCAGCGTGTCTTGTCGCTAGTGGCGGAAGAGGGCGGGAGAAGGGTATCGGGGGTGTTGCGGTATTGTTATTGTCGGTGAGGTTACTGGCGGGAACGACAGCACTTTGTCGTGTGTCAATGCGCGTGGGGCGAAACGGTCTCTGCGCTCTGAGCGGAGTAAACCGGAATGAGATCACTTTCGATCCTGGACGGCGGCGCTCGGTCTCCTCTCGCTCTCTCTTTGTTTGCCATGGAATGGATGATGCCCGTTGGTAGTAGCAGGCAGCCGCGACATGTTGAGCTTGAGCGTGGGCGTGCGTACCTGTGCAAATCAATACGCAGAAGCGATAAGAAAAAAACATGTGCGGTAACAGGTGAAACTCGATACCTGTGTTCTTTTGTAAAAGACAGATATGCACGCGTAGGAGGGAGGGAGGGAGGCAGTCACACGGACGCACTGCGCTTTGTCCGAGCGAACGGAGCACAAAGAAAGACCTGGCAGTTTTGATCTATTCTGAGCGCACGCGAGTGAACCCCAACGGCTGCGAAACTAGATTTTCACGCTAGTCAGTCTACGTGGCACATCTCCCGCGACATGATCCAGCACCCACATAAGTACGCAGTCTCCGGAACAATGGAAGGGGAGGAGACTGGGGGCAGTAGTACTACAGTACTATGAAGTGGAAGAGAATGTTCGTCGAATGATATGACGTATACGCGACAAACGAGACACGAGACCGTCCGAGCGCCGCTTGACATATCCACTCTCCAAAAAAGGTCGCCCGGGTCCCATGAGCACGCGATCCAGATCAACGCAGTCCCAGCGCGTGGCACGGCTTCGTAACCTACTCGCCCACGATGCGGTTACGGTGATGCCGTGCTGCTACGACGGACTGAGTGCGAAACTCATCGAGCGCGCAGGCTTCGAAGTGACGTTCATGACTGGCTTTGGCGTGTCTGCCGTGCATGGGCTGCCGGATACACAGGTATGCGGAGCACACACATACCCCTTCGGGCTGGCGTATACAACTACCCCTTCCCCGCTCTCTCTTTTCGTACCCTTTCTAACCCTATTTGTGCTGCTATGTTTAGCTCGTGTCTTTTGGCGAAATGAGTCGCACTGCGGGCACTGTCTGCGAATCACTGCGTGACATTCCATGCATTGGCGACGGTGACACGGGTTACGGCAATGCCGTAAACGTGAAAAGAACAGTGGCAGCCTACGCCCAGGCCGGTATGGCCGGCATCATGCTGGAAGACCAAGTGGCACCCAAACGATGTGGACACACTACCGGGAAAGCGGTTGTCTCGCGCGACGAAGCGTTTGCTCGCGTACGTGCGGCAGTGGACGCTCGTCGAGAAGGCCACTTTGACATTGTCATTATGGCAAGGACGGACGCTCGAGGGACGCATTCGCTGGAGGAGGCCATTGCTCGCTGCAAAGAGTTTGTGACCCTTGGAGCGGACATCACGTTCCTGGAGGCACCGCAGTCGATCGAGGAGATGGAGGCGTACTGCAGAGAAGTGCCTGGTCCCAAGATGGCCAATATGGTGGAAAATGGTCTTACGCCAGTTTTGTTACCGGAGCAGCTTGGTGCTATGGGATACACGCTCGTGGTCTATCCGATAACATTGCTAAGCGCGAGTATCCGTGCGATGGAGAAGGCGTTGAGCCTGCTCAAGCACCAGACAGGGGAACAGAAAGAGGAAGGCACAGCCAAAAACGACGTCGAGAACGCGACGCCGAGTGTAGCACTGGACCAGTTGCTCTGCGACTTTGCACACGTAAAGGATGTCGTGGGCTTTACGGAATATTACGCGGAGGAGGAGCGGTACAAGGCATGAGTGTGGACGCACAAACGAGACAGCAAGGGTGCGCCTTTCGCGTTAGCTATCGGGGTTCACGTGAAGGCAGTGTTACCAACACGATCCGAGACCGAGGTGTGTAAGGGCGTCGTCCCATCAGTTGTGAAGCAAACAAAAGAATCTCGACGGTGCGTAGATCTCGAGGGACTCGCTAGGTCGCAATTACTTCGTAGCATTTTAGCTGATCGGGTAATGCTCGACTGCCAGTTGTCTTTCGTCGAGTGACGTTGAGAGTATCATTTATTCAAATGATTACGCCGATGAAGGGCAAATCACAGGATACGTATGTGGATGTGTAAATAGGCAGAGCGACACGTGGTTTTCTGTGCGTCTACTAATGTTTGCTGACCAGATTTCCTCAGGCTCAAATTACACTTGTCGGACGAGATTCCTCGAGCTCAAGAACTTTCGACGAAAGCGCATGCTATTCTCGATTGCAGCGCGCAGACCAATCATAGTCCCAAACGACATACTGTCTTTTTTCTGACTGCGGAATCAAGAGCTTTTTATACAAAAAGCAAAAAAAGGCCACACAGCACGACTGACTAGCGCCTGAAGTCGTGGCAGCATCTTCCACTTCTTCCTGATCTTTGAATCTCTCGGAACCCATTTTCCACGTTTCGGCTCTTCGACCCGCAATCGACGTAGCGCTCGATTTCTAGATTCCTGGGCAATGCATACGACATGGAAAATCCATGGCAGAGTCGTTCGCTTACTTTCTAGTAGTAGCCATCATTGCCTTGTTTGTTTGTCTTTGCAGTTTCCAGCCCAGTTGCCTCCTCAGGAGTCAAGCAAACGACAAGCAGATCGTGCGCAAGTGTACCGAAACACGTCGATCCCCTCGTCCGTTCGAATACCAAGAACCGTTCTAGCATCGATGACCCCTGCCACTGCACCCCCCCCCACTCCAACAAAGTGCTTTGCGACTTTTGCTTTGTGTACAAACCAACGCGTGTTTTCACCACCACCCAACTTGCTAAAAAAAGTGCCACAGCGTTGAAGTTGAAGTGGCCATCACTCTCGATTCCGCATCCGCGCGCACACGTGCAACTCGCGACTGAAAGCCATCGACCGTATGTCGGTCCACCGCGAAGTAGTCTCTCTCTCGCAGCTCCTGCGTCGCACCACCGACTCCTCGTACGTGCTCCACATCGATTGATGTCCCGGCCGGTTGTCCAGTGACGAACCGTTTGCTTGCGGGTAGGATCGCACGGCAGCATCGGACAGGTCACAAGCCGCCGCCGTTGGCTTTCCAGCCCTCCCGACAGCGACCGGCCAAAGCGCAGCGGACGGCAGAGCGCCCGAATATCGGACACAGCCCACTCGTCAGCTGTGCACTGGCCGCGGACGAGCCGCTGAGCTTCACCGACTGCGTGCGCGGTGCGAGTGCCGCGTCAGCGTCTCAGTCCGAGAGCACGCGCTCGAGCTCTGTCTTTGCGCCCCTGTCTCAAGAAGGTGATGGAGAGGAGGGCGCAGCAGTGGACGGTCACGAGCGGCTCGTGCTGCGCTGTCTGTCCTGACTCTGCTTTGCTCCTAGTCGACAAGATGAATACATAGATGAAAGGATGGATCGACTGACTGGTTGTGTAGCGTTCGAGACGGAGGGCGAGCAGTGGAGTGCCCTGACGTCCATGTCGCAGTCGTCCGTGTCGCAGCTGCCATCGCAGAACTGGCTGGCGTCGAGCCAAGAGGGGAGTCAGGTGAGCCGAACAAACACTCGAAATGCTGCTGCTGCTGCTGATTGAGTCTTCTTGTCGTCGTGTTGGTTGTAGCCATGGCGGGCGCCCGAGCTGCTGCCTCCACCTCCTGCACCGCCGTGCTGCATGCAACGGCGAGAGCTTGAGCAGTGCATTGGGAAAGCGATCGCCCAGCAAACGCTCGAGCAAAAGGAGCAGCAGCAGCAGCTCCTGACGGACGTTGCCAGTCCGATAGCAAAGTCGGTGGACGAGATCAAGACGCAACTCGAGTCGTGCAGTGAAGCGCAGCAGAAACACGACGCGGTCATTGCAGGACTTGCAGCAGACATGAAGGAGGTGACGGCGGCAGTCTCGGCGCTGCGTGAGCAGGTCGATTGATGCTGCTGTGCTGGCTGTGCTGGGCCAAACTTGTGGGCTGCAACTGACGCCCATGCGTTCTCTTGTCTCTATGTTTATAGAGTTGTAGTGACCGCACAGCAGTGTGTCAAGAAATTCGCACGGCAGTGACGAGCGAAACAGCGGGCGTGAAAGCGGTGCTCACGAGCCTCCAAGCCCGCGTTGAGACAGTTGCAGGCAGCGTCAAGTCATGCTCGGGTCTTGTTGCACAGCTACGGGAAGATGCCGGCACGAAGTACGACGTGCTCTTGTCAGCTGTAGCTGCATCTTCGTGCACTTGCACTCAAGAAGTCGCGCCTATCGACGCACACGTGAACGACGAGAGAGAGAGCAGGAAACGAAAATGGACCGCCGAAGCCCACGAGCAGGATGCCAGTGGCGGCTACACGTTGGCCGCACTTCTTGGGTCACCCGTGTTCCAATCTCCAGCTCGATGTCGAGATAACGACGACGACGACATCGACGACGAGGTGCGGAGAGATAAAGGGACAAGTGAGACGTCGTCTTCGAGTCTCCAAGGAGCACTTCAGCAGATTGAAGCGCTTCGTGCACGGCGTCGCAGCATTCTGCAGGAATGGTAACAAGCGTAAGTAGGGGGGTTGCGTCAAGGCGACACGGAATGTAGTCGCCCAGACGACACCACACGACCATCCTGGAAGTCGGACCGACACCCACAGTACAAAAACAAGCTGTCGCATCTCGGGAGGGGCTAGAAGAGTCTCATGTTTCCGTCAGGGTTTCTCGTTTACAGACACAAACTGCTTTTTCATCGTCGCTTCTCTTTTAAGGATCGAGGACGAGGTCCTACAATTGTGGTCGTGTCTATGGTACGTTGCAGAAGAACAAAACACAAACCATCACATAATTAGACACACTCCACGCATCACACTCTCTTTCCCAATTTCATGCGACTCCTTTTTGAGTCGCAAGAAATGCCTACCGGGTAGCCAGCGCCATGCGTAGGGTCTTGAATGAGCTTGGCGTACTCGTCACGAAGGCTCTTGCAGGCCATCTTGTGGTTCACGCCGTTCTCTCGGTAGCATGTCGCCAGCTCTTCGCGCACGACGATGAGCGTCGCGTGCGCGAGCTGCACCTGCTTCGCGTACTTGCGCTCAGCCGCGCGAATCGATAGGATCTCGTCTCTCGTACGTAACTGTGAGGCGTACATGGCGACGAAACTGCAGGACGCGGTCGGTAAACGAGAACTTCCGTGGCTCCTCGGCTAACTGGGCTGACGGGAGGCCTTGTGAAAGGCGCTGGGGTCGTACCAGCTACGAGGTACACTCGTACTTGTCGGAGGTTTCGACAGCTCACGTGCTGATTGGACAGGGGTTCGTATTTACAGACAGCGTTGCCAACAGGGCCCAATTTGCTGCTATTTTCAGTGCAACAAGCGTACTTGTGCTTAGCAGCTCAGGTTTTGTAAACGGATTTAAGCAGCAACAGGTACGCTATGGCAGACAAGATGACACCCTTATCAAGATCTTACTAGAATGCTTCGTACAGACAGGCGATGTAAAAAGGCCGCCACGTACTTGCCGTCTGGAAGCTTGGACGATGTATGCAGTATTGCGATCTGCACTCAGGATAGAGTACACACAAGAGCAGTGCGTCGGTCGTTTCCGTCCACGTCGAGCATGTAGCACGAGATTCCGACAGCTACTTACGCTGCATCTACAACATAATTGGTCTCGCCGCGTAGGCACAGAGCATATATACTGCACAGTCGAAGGCCGGTGTCATGAGACAAAGAGTTTGCTAAGTTTCGTAACGATGAAGAGTTGGGTGGTGACCGCATACGAACATCCGGTCTGACACCATGAGACCCCTGCAACGGCTCAATGTCTCTGGATTGCCACGGCGTTCGTATGCGTACCAGCAACAAGACGTACACATTGTAAGCGGTCTTCAGCATATGTGAATTTGTAATATGCCCGTGCGAATAGCCTACAAGCTTAGTGACAGCACATGTTCACTAAGCGAGTATGCTATGCGTTTTCTGCTACTTAGATCGTTTTCGATCTCGGCCAAAACTTGTGGTAAACAGGTTGTCATTTCGCTTTGTGATACACTTGTTACTTTTGTCATTATTTGGTGCGCTTTTTATTTCCTCGCGGCTTCATCGAGATTTCAAGCATCCTGGACGGGCCAATCCCGGGAAAAACTAATCCAGACAACAGTTGATATGCAAACGCTCGTATCGAAACAAAACAAAGGGCGACGACACCAAACAGAGAAGCGAAGGAATCGAACGGCTTGAGCTGCATGACTGCTGAAGAATCACTGTGCTTCCGACACTCCGTGGCGAAAACTTGATTTACATCTGCATGTATCGGCTACCACCACCTCCACCTTTGGGTCCGTAGAGCTCCGAAGACGAGTTTCCATCTACGTATTTCGTTCCAGCTCGGTAGACCGGGGATGCCGATTCCGTGTGACCTGGAGTAGCTGCCGTCTTTTCGCTTCGGTACCCAGCTGACGAGGTCGAGTCGCTCGTGTCACCAAAGGCATAAGAATCCATCGACGAACTCAAAGAAACCTGGCTCACCGAAGCTCCCCGTGCAGCTGCTCGACCAGCTGCAGCAGCACGAAGACTGCGCACCCATTGCTGCTTGACTTCGCGTGACTTGGCGTGGAGCTGCAGCGGATAGTACTCGTCGTTGCGAAAAGAGACACCAAAAGCTTCAGGCACAGCACAATTGTCTTCAATAGTCGCACCAGTGACATCCATGGGCGGATTGACCGAGCGGCAACGCTCATAGTCCTCTTTGGTATCGTAAAAGCTTAGCTGCGGTCCTTCCAGCACAAAGTACCGCTGCTGCCACTTGGCGCGTGCTGATCCACTAGCACTAGATGCCACGTACTGCTTGATCAGGTACCCACACAGGACTTGAGCAAAAGCCGAAGATGCGAACTCTGTCGCACGGTACTGACCCTGTTGCGCTGTATCTGCCAAGCGCTTCATAGTGGCGTTATGGCTTAAAATGTGCTCCAGTTCATTCGTCTTGAACTCCAGCGTCGAGCGCAATCCTGCGAGCTCGGCTGCACAACGTTGCTCGGCTTCCTTCACTCCCAGCTCACACTTCTGCTGTTGCTGAGCAGAGAGCTCCTGCATCGCACCTGCTTGTCCCTGCGCCACTGCTACTTTCACGCTCAGGTCATTCATCTGCTTCTCAAGTGCGCGCACCTCTGTCATATGGGCTGCATTCGTGTTCTCTGTGCGCTGAATTGTTTGGGACAAGACACGCTGGCTAACGTATTCGCAATACGCAGCATCGGCTGATGGGCCCGCAGCGCGACCAAAATACTCCTTATGCAACACATCCAAATCGTCTTGCAAAAAGGTCTGCGTTTCACGAAAAAGTTCCGCGGACGATTTTTGCCTGTGTCGCTCCGGATGTGCCAGGTACTCAGCTCCTGGCCGACCCAAATCGTCCAGTACGTGCCTGCAGTATGCCATTGATGCCGCTGCATTCTGCTGGCGGTACGCATTGAGCTCGGCAGCTACCGCCAAGCGAAATTGAGCCATGTAATCGTCATCGCCTCCAGCTTCAGCTTCGTTGCCCATGTCTTCATTGACGATATCGCGCAGTTTTTTCTTGGCCAACTGCTTGCACAAACGATGCACAATGTGCAGTCTACTCTCAGCACAAGGCAATCGTGTGCGTTCCACCCTGCGTACAAAAACCTCGGCTCCCGTGCTATTTTCTTTTGCACTGGCATCCATGAGCTCACTCTGCGAAATCGTTGGATTTTCGCCTTCGCCTATGCCATCCGGCATCGCCAATCCCGATGGCAAAACTACGCTTTGCAGGTTTCCGTGTTCATCAAACATGGCGTTGCTTCCCTGTCCGCTGTCTATCGCTTCAAGCTCATCATTCGAGGCATCGTTCTCGTCACCGGCATCTTCGAAGCCGGCATCGTTTTCGTACTGTTCAGCTGACACATAAGTACGCACTCGTGCGAGCATCTCAGCCTTGTAGCACTCCACAGCGTCTTCAAGTGCATTCTGACATTGTGCCTGCATGACACGACTCCAGGCGCTAGAGATCACCGGCGCCTTGCCACTATTCAGCGCCTCGACATACGATCCCGCCAAATTGACCAGCATGGCTCCGTTCAGTGGCTTGCCGAACATTGTCTTGGGCTTGGCTTTGCCAAACAGTCTCTTGCATAGAGCTTCGAAACTAGCTCGAAACTCGTCTCTCAGCTCGTCGTACGGTACCTGCGGCAAATTCCGAAGCTTCTCTTCGTCATCCACAGGCCGCACCAACGTGACGCAATCGCGTTGTCGGAAGAAGCTGCTCAAGAGCGCTCGAATCTCATCTTTCCGCACAGCATCATCGCTCAGACCTCCGGTTGGCTCCAGCGCATTCTCCAGATACTGCTTGGACGATATACGCTTGCCATTGTCCAGCAGCTGCAGCGTAAAGTCACGCACGACCCACATGAACGTCGGGAAAAACTCGTGCAAACGATCGCCAGCGCTCGCAGCGTCGACACCTGACGACGCCATTGGTGTGGTGGCTGTTGCTGGCGACGTCGAAGACGTCTGAATGTGCTTGGACAAGTTCACGACCAGGGAGAGGTCGTCCAGCGCGTTGCCATCAATGACTCCGCGACTGTTGTACACGAAATTAGACGCCAGGAGCAGCGCGAGAGCAAAAATGCGCGTATCGTGTGTCTGAGCGCGGTCCACGCTGCCGAGTCCTTCCGTGTCCAAGAACAACACGCTCGTGTCCTTGTCCAGAGCAATGGGGTGGCCCCACATCCAAATGCCTTTGGTACACGCATTGACGGTACGACCGACCGCAAACCCCTGCAACAACACAACAACACGACACGAATCGATACAGTATCGTTAAACGTGACACCACAACCCCCGCACTCAGCATCGCAATTAGTGCAATTATTGCAGTACTGCAACTATTGCAATCAGTGCCATTATTGCCATTATTGTAGTGGAATCCTCACGCTTGGACGTGTCAAGTCTGCGACGTCTGTGCGGGCGGCGTGTTGCGCCAGCAAATTCAGCAGGAAGCTCTTGCCCGTGCGGTAGAGACCAGCGACCGCCACGACCACGAGACGCGTCTTGACCGTTTCCAGTACCGCACGCGCCTCGGGGTTCACGCAAAAGGCACCGCTGGCGTCGTCCACAGTGATGAACGGCAGCGGCTGGACGCCCGGCATGTCGTCGTCGTCGGCCGTGTGCGTGCGGCCTCTGACTGCGATGGTACAGTGGGTGGTACGTGCCCGCGATGTGGGTCTTTTGCCTTTGTCCCACGCGGTGGATTGGTCTTTTAGCCGGTAAAGACCGTGCTTTGCTGCATTGTGGTTGTGGTTGTGTTGTGTGGTGTTGTGGTGTGTTGTTGTGGTGGTCCACGCTAATTAGGGACCCACCAGTCATTGCTACTGTCGGTTTGGGCTCTGACGCCATCAATTACCGTGCGAAATCACATGGGGCACAGCGGCGCACCGGCTCGTGGCGCCTCGCGTGGGCGAGGGACAACTGGCGTGGGCGCCCACCCGACGATGCGTAAAAAGTCAAAGCTCGTGGTGACGTTCGATCCAGAAAAGCGCAAGTCCGTTCACGCTCTGTCGCGCTCTATCTCTCTGTGTCGTTTTGACTGTCGACGTGTCAATTGACAGTTTTTGTTTGCTGGTTTAATTGCTGATACGGTGCTAAACTCGCTGTTTTACTGTGTGTTTATCCTGCTGTTTGTGTCGGTGCCGTGTTGTTGGTGGTCGTCTGTCTGTCTGTCTGTCTATCTGTCTTGTTGTGGTGTGCTACTACTAGGGAGTACTTGACGGGGTTTCACAAGCGCAAGCAAGAGCGTCGTCGATTCGGTCTGGACATGCAGGCGTACAAGGTCAAGAAGCTCCAACTGGAGGCAAAGAAGAATCGACGCGCCGAGCACAAGGAGAAACTTGCGGCGCTGAATTTACTGTCGGACGACGACAAGGCAAAGGAGGACGAGGAGACGGACGAGAGCGACGAGTCGGAAGCGTCCGAGACCGAGAAGACGGGTGCAAGTGTCTCTGGTGAGGCCAAGGCGGTCGTCAACGTCACGACGTTCAGTGACGACTTTACACAGGGCAAGTTTGGGGACGTGGTGACTGTCACGACGGCTGTGGGCGATTTGCAGAGTGACAGCGACGACAATGACAGTAGTGTGGAGGGAGAGGAAGATGACGAGGCAGAAAAGGCCGACACGGAGAGACAGCGTGGGACTCGAGCGTTTGTTCGACCGCAGAAGAGGAAGGTCCACCCGGAGCAGCACTTGACGCTGTTCCAGCGAATACAGCAGCAGCGCAAGGGCAAAGCGCTGCCGTCAAAGCGCTCCAAGCTGAAGGACGCACGTACTGCGCGAAAGGCCATGATGGGTAAGAAGGGCAACAGCAGTGGCATTGTTGGTCCGACCAAGAAGCGGGGTGCGGAGGATAACGACGGAGGAGGTACTGCTGTCGGGAAGCTAAGGAAGAAGCTCAAGATGAAGCGCAGTCAGAGCAGTGGCCATAAGCGTCAGAAGAAGCGGTAGCGGGTCAGCCAGTTCTGCGAAATGGGCCTATCTGCACAGCCACAGCCAACTTGTAACGCGACGTTCCCAATCTGTACGCAACGTGTTGTTTTCCATTGTACTAATTCTTCTTCTCCTCTCTTGCCGTGCTTGTTCAAGTGCTTGGCCCCATCATTTCCACACCTTGATAAGGGCGTCGCGGCCACTCGAGACAAGCATGGGACTCGACATGTGACTGCTTCCAACCTCGACGAGCGTCAGGTCCAAAATGCAGTCCGTGTGAGCCGGAGATGGAGGCACAAACCCCCTTCGTTCCATGCTGACCGAAGACTCGGCACCGCTAGACCCTGAGGCTGAGACGCCACCTGGAGTCGAATAGACGGACGAGTCCTGGCAAACCGTGATCAGCGGGGGGCTCAACTTGCTCCAAGCCATCTCCGGCTTTGTGATGTTGTGCGTGGTCGAGGTAGGGGCTGCTGGCACTTCATCATACCGCCGCGGAGAAGGATCGGGCATGCGCCACCAGTCAGTGGGCGGTATCTGGTTGTCGTAAAACGACTTGGCGTCGCCGTTGCCGCATATCGTGTACGATTGCTTCCCGTTGCGAATGTCCCAGTAGCGCAATTGACGGTCTTCACCGCCTGTGATCAGCGCATCTCCAATGCCTCGAAGGTGCAGTGACGGGCACAGCATCGCTCGGACACTGGGCTCCTCGCTGAGCGGCGACGTCGAAATCTCGTCGAAGGCCGTGGCGATGCCATAAATCCCGAGGTAACTGCCAAGCACGCTTCGACTGCGGTGTGGAATCGCCACGTGCAACAGCGTCGGACATTTGCTGGCTTCAGCCTCCGATGCCTGAGCTTCTAGCGTCCGGAACACTGCCCGACATGCGCCGATACTGAGGTCAAACACAGCGACTTCCCCATCACCTGCTGCCACAAAGACCAGTGGCACGGACGTCTCATCGAGGGGCAACGTATTCGGCAATCCCAAACAGGGCTGCAGTCGATGAATGGCGCGGTGCGACGAATGGCGCCAGATACGGATGAGCACCAAGAAGCGCAGGTCCCACAAACACAGAAAGCCTCTGCTCGTTCCAACAGCTAACCAGCTCACGTCCAGCGAGTGCGTTATGCACGTCACATAGCCGAGCTCGGGCGAAATGCTCAGCGTCCAGGCCTCTCGTCGCATGCGCAGGTCCCACGCGTGGATCTTGCCGTCACGTGTGGCATAGAGCAGCAGCGCTTCCGTGACGTTATTCAGATAGTCGATCGTCATGACGGCGCTGTTGTTCGCACGCAGCTCCTTCAGACCAGTGGCCTGAACGTTCCCACCCACCAAACTCACTTTATCCACACGAAAGACGTGGACAGTGCCATCGCTGGACGCGGACGCAACAGAGTGGCTATTCGTGAGCACCTTCATGTCGGTAATCACGCCACCCTGCCCGTCATATGTACATCGCGATCCTTGATTCACGCTGTGCAGTAGCGACCGTACCGACCAGATCTTCACTGTGCCATCATTCGAGGCAGACGCAAGGAAGCTGTAGTCCTGGGCAGCACTCACGCGAGTCACAGCCCCCGAGTGCTCGGCCAATTCCGCCACCAGAACGTTCTTGCGTGGCTGCCAGTTGTGGTACGATGAGCTCGGGTAACTAGCGCCCCCACCAACACCACTTCCGCTGCTCAAATGGCTGCCGGATCCAGTGCTGCTGTTGGAGTTGCCAAAGCTGCTGGGCGTCACACCTCCATTGATCGCTGCCGCTGCTGCCGCCGCCACGTTGAACGCGCCTACTCCAGGAGGATACGTACTGCTACCGACTTGCATTGCAGACGATGTGACGCTTGAAGCATTTGTGCCGCCTCGATCGTTGCCTGGCGCTCCATGGATGCCCGCGCTTTTGTTGAGTCCGATGCCGCCACCCCCTACCAGACAGTACGGACTCGAAGCATGGCTGTAAATCGAGTACGGTGATCCATCAGGAAGCCGCAGCGCACCGAGATCGGGTGGCAACGGAGGAATGCCCAGTGCATTCAACCGCGCGAGCAACTTGCGAGGGTTTCCAAGTGCAGGATCCATCGCCGACTCCTTGAACGCAAAGTAATGGTGGTAAGTCGTATGAGCTTTCTTTATCATCCTCTGCCGCGGAGGTGACACTGGCGACGCATGCACAGGATGGTGGTGGTGGTGGTGGTGTGGATCCAGCAGACTGTTCATTCCATCACCACCATACATGTCGCGCATATTCATGTTCAGCATGCTTACCATGACTCCACCGCTGGTTGGTGCAAAGTGATTCGAGTCCATTTGACTTAGTCCCGGGTCGTCCACCGTCGATGACACGGACCCCGGAGGAACCATCGGGGAAGGGCCTGTGACAGTAATCGATGATGCTGAAACCGGTGTGCTTGGCTCGACGAGGCTGTACATCTTCCCGACGTGCGACAAGGAAAGGCTATCCAAAGACGGGACTTCTGTCATCGAGGCGCCGGTTGACGTTGCTGAAGCTCCTGAGATTTCACGATGCAACGGTGAGCTGCTGGGTGCGTTCGACCGGGATCTTGTCACCAAAGCGGTTGACGTAAAAGTTGCCGGTGTCGACGTCGTTGTTGCACTGCTCGCCGCTAAGGATGAGGACGATGGGATTCCAACTTTGTTCGGCGTCAACGGTTGTGCCGTCGAGAGTGCGAAACGCATATCTGGCACGAAGAGCATGCGTAAGTGTGAGCGCGAAAGCTTTCGGGCGAACGGGTTGCTGCTGGTGCGAGCTGCACCACCACTGGCTGCCGCAGACGATTTGATCGCCGAACTGCGAGGCGAACTAGCGCGATCACTTTTTGAAGTTCCTTGCATCCGTGCAGCTTGCTCAGTCTTGGCCATTTCCAACTTGCTCCGCATCTGCATCGAGGCAATCGACACGTACTGCTGCATGAGCTTCAGTGATTGGATCTCATTTTTGCGTTGATCGTACATCGAAAGCACGCCAGCCTCAACACTGTTTGAGATTGTTGCTGCTGTTATCGCTGCCGAAGACGCAACAGCTGCACCAGACGACTGCTGACGGAACATACCATATCCATCGAGAGAGTCCGCACTCAGCAAGGCCTCTCTGTTCCTACGGAACCTCGATATGTCGCCAACGGATTCCTCGAGCGATTCACGTGAGGTCGTCGTCATAGCCGAGAGAGGTGTGGTTGGCACCATGTCGTCATCGCTGTCATCAGGCGGTTGGCCGGCAGATCGCTCCATGTCGGATATCACCTCGTTAAAACCTGAAGATAATGAAGACGCCAGTAGTGCGCGGTCAAATGTCTCCCGCGAGACGTGGGGCCGACAGCAGTCACGAAGTCGCTTCGTGACCACAGAGACCTTTTCGTCGGGCAAAAACACCATCGTCTTGCGCAAAAAGGGCCGAAGCAGTGGACCCAAGAAAACGTTAGCGTCCACACTGCGCAGTTTTAGCGCAATCTCACCCATCAGTTTTAGCACGGCATCGCGAATCCACCAACTTGGATGCAGCAGCAGAGAACAGGTCATGCGCGCTTTCTCCACGAGCGTGCTGATTTTGTTCTGGAACAGTCCAAGTTGGCACAATCCAGTAAGACACTCCACTGCCTTAGTGATAACAATTTCCTGCACATCAAACAGCGCCTGCTCAATGCAAGGCAAGATGTTTTGTTCGACGGCCTCAGGACCTACAAAAGAACACACGCCAACGATGTGGTCGAAAAATGCTCCTCGCAGCTCCCAGTCCGGATCATTCAGAAACGTTATGAGCTGGGGCAAGACAACGTCCAGAGTACGTTCTTGGCCGAAAAACACACACAGTCTTGTAATATCAACCAGTAGTGCGCGCTTTACGAGAGATGATGAGGCCTTTTGATCGGGAGTCGTGAGCTGAATTACAAAGCGCGAAATCATTTTGTGCAGCACACTTAGCTCTTTGTCGAAACTGCTGGACGCCATGTACAACGTGCTAGGAGCAGACGAATCATTGCCTCGGCCAGACACCGCGGACTTCGCGGATGCTGACGACGCCAGCATTTTTTGCTTCATCGCGTGTGCAATCTCCAAGAAACGTCGACTTGTTTCTGCTAGCTGCGGCAAGCACTCGGCAAATGTGATGCGCACCAACTCGTCGGGGTCAGACTGGAATGGTACCATAGCAGGCAGCACATACTGCGGAAAAACCGAAGCGTCAGCAAGAGGAAAGGATTCCACAAGCGATATCAAATACGCGACGGTACGAAGCGCCAGTGCGCGCACAGTCGCGCTTGGGTCATCGATAACCTCGAGCAGATACGGAATCAAGCGTTGCAAACGGGCTTCATCGCTCGTATATTGACCAAGTGAGCGGATCAGGTACAGTGCAGTGAGCTTCGATTCCGGGACTTGCACATGCCGCAGACTTGAACAAATCAGCGATAGAATGATGACAATACCATTACGGTCATGCGGCCACGGTTCGCTGCCTTGGTGTACCGGTGGCTTCATTTGTCGCGCGCTGCTTGTATGGGGCAAAGTGTTTGACTTGTCCAGCGAAAGATCGTTACCGTCTGCACCGACTTCTTCTTTAGCTTCAGCATCCTTCGAGCACGTGTTCTCATTCAAACGACCGTTCGGTGCGTCGCGCGAGTAATCGAGCAGCAATGACGTCTCTTTCTTTTGCGTAAGCGCCTGAAATTGATCGTGGAGCTTCTCGATTTTCTTCTTTTGCAAACTTGCACTAAGACCGCGCATATCGCTCTCGTGTTCCCTGATCTGATGCAACTTGGTAAGAGCAGCATTGTCGCGCTCGCTATTCTGCTTATCGTGCTTCGAAGGTATCTTCTGATACAGCTCTTCAAGCACACGCTGTGCCACATGCGTCTGTTGGTCACTTCCTGTTACAGTTGCTAGCCGGTCGGAGCCGTACCCTTCTTTGAGACGCAGTTTAAAAAACTCCTCGCCTTCCGGGTCTTCTACGCCTGCGACTTCACGCACCAGTCGCCCGTAATACTTGCACACGAGTCGAATTCGTGCATCCGGCACTTTTCCACCACGACTGAGCACAAGAACGAGAAACTTGAACAAAAAGTTATCAAAGTATGTTGGAAACAGTCCACTTGAGCTCGTGTATTTGGCCAGATAGCCGCTCGCTGAAAGTCGGGCATTCGGATCCAACTGCAACATGTGCAGCAGCAGCTCTTCAAGCCGCGGGTCGTCTACTTTCTTCAGCCGCTGACGCAAAGCGTCCGAATCGCCAGTGCGGTACTTCAGCAGCGACGGCAAGTCGAAAAGAGGTTTCCCGCCCGAAAAAAGTTCCGCAATCACACACCCAGCCGAGAAAATGTCCATTGACTCGAGCAAGCTACCTTCTCGACGCGAACGCGAGTATGATGGCGGCGGCGGTGACTGCATATACGTGGCGGTCCCACCCGAGCCCGTCCCCATGGCCAGAATCTGCTTGTCCACTTCTTCCACCGAAACGTCGCTGTCTGCCATTTTCGACAGCATATAAACTGCATCCGACGTCTTTGCACCCAGCAGAGCAGCTGCGGCGGCGGCGCTCACACTTGCTCCGGTCGCTGCAGCTGTCGCAGGTGGCACCACAGCTCCTCCTTTGCCGTAAAAGCGCTCGGGCGCGACGCTACAGCCGCGTCGCGTGGCGTCGATCGCGCAAAAGTAGTAATTATAGTCCGCCGGGTCGTCCTCGGGAATGTACGTGGGTTTAAACGGCGCAAAGTCCGTGAGAAAGACCCAGTTCCAGCTCGTGACCATGACGTTCTCCTGCTTGATGTCGCCGTGGCAAATGCCTTTTGCGTGGCTCTGGGCCAGCGCCCGCAAGAGCTGAAACGCGAGCCATTTTTTCTCTACAAGCGTCAAGAATGGCCGCGAGCAAATTCGGTCGTACAAATTCGAGGCAAAAAACGGTCGGACAAGAAACGCCACATGGCTCTTGTGCGAGAGCTGAAAGTCCGCGTACGGCATCACGTTGGGCTCGTACTCGATCGAGAACGCAAGCGTCAAGCGCCGCAGCGCGACTTCTGCGCGCGTGAGCGACTCGCGCTCGTCGTACTTTCGGTAGATCTTGACCACGAGGTGCCCTTCGTCGCACTTGCACGAGATGCTCTTGAGGAACTTACCATCGCCGATCAAACTGCCAAACATCATATCCATCGACCGCGGCGTGTAGTCCATCAAGAACGTCCGGTACTGCGACGCGCTGTCCAGAACGCTCTGCGGCTGCGCGCGCGGCGCGGCGTTGCCCATCGTACAGAAAAAGCGGTGCGGACAAGCACGCGACGCACTACGAAAGAGCCTTTGGCCACGCATCGGCCGCGCCGAGCGTGCGTAACCTGCTGAAGAGGCTCGACCTTTGATATGGCATACTGTGGCCCGTGGTCGACGAATGTGGTCAACGCAAAGTCGGTCGCCGGGACCGACCACTTGATTGTACATAGCGAGAGCGCAAGTTTGTGTGACTTGAAAAAGCCATTCGACATATGACGTTCGTATAAGTACGCAGTGAGCAGTACAACGACAGTGGCTCTCGTTATTCAGGTAAGTAGCTTCTCATCTCGGCGTCAAGCTACTTCGTGGCGATAGATACTGCGAAATCTCACATAGAGTAGTTTTACCGGTGGAGATACCCAGTGCGTCGACATCGATCCACCTCGTCCGTCTGCAACCCAACAGACGGTATGGGTGAATGTGTATCAGCATATCCGACACAACGAGCGTGTTTTCATCCGAATATGCGCAAATTGCCCTTGAAAATGCGACTGAAGGGCTGCGTGTACCATGGTACGTCTTGTACGAAGCTCTCCGAACTTCACAACACGATCACGCGCTCGATCAGGGCAGTACGGTTGCCCTCAGTCAAAATTCTCCAGCGTCGTCGCAACGAAAAGTTGTATATCGCCGAACCAGCGGCACTGCTCGAAGTTGGTATCCATATGGGCCACAAACGCCCACTCTAGCGACAAGAACCCGTACATGATGGTGCCGTCACCATCGGTAACAGAAAATACGTCCAGATCCTCAACCTGACCCTTGACGAGGGAGAAGCTGCAATGACCAACGCCAATTCCTCACCAGCTCGTGTCAGTAATGATGTAGATACATCATGATCCGACAGGAGCGGTCTACAAGGGCAACAAAATGCATCAGCGAAGAAAGGCGAAAACGACACCAGCATTCACTGCCGCCTCAAGCATTCGCTGCCGGCACATCTCAAGCGGCAGCAGAACTGCCTGCTACCCCTTTGGCGTCGCACCGAGCCCTGTAGCACGATAATGAACACCGAGGGATTGTGGTAGTCCCATCTACGTCAAATTCAGTGTACCACCACGATCACCACCATCAGTTCCGCTCACTCTCCCCCCTCCAACAGCAGTTCGATCACCTCTGATCGACACGATGCAGTCGCACTGGTGCAATGACACTTCTCTCATGATCTTCGTTTCATATGCGCTTGTGGACTAACGACCGTTTCCGCTACTGTGTTCGCCTGCCAGGATACTGATGCGACTTGCTGCTCGTTGTCGACTGCTGCGCGTCGCCCGTACCTCCTACAGGGCCAATCACCGCCAAAAAGTACAGCTCCATCAGCTTTTTGCCCACCCATTGTCCATTTTGTTTCTTCTCGGATCCTTCGTAAGGCAGGTCTTCATGCCATCCAGCAGCTACTCCATCAACGTTCCAGCTCACGAACCTGCAAGGAACGGAGTCGCCCTCACTGTCTCCTCACCTTCGCGTCGTCCCCATCACAAGTAAACAACCACTACGCAACGCTCGATGCGTGTCCGCGTTCTCCAAGATGCTCCCTGTGATAGCGGTAGGTGGCGCTGCCGTAGCTAGTGACACGAGGCCGCCAAGCAGTCCACTGCTATCGACGACTTCTCAGGCTTCGGAATGCACCCAACGACTACGAACTCACTGCCGTCTTCGTCCCTGAGCGCGACGCAGCTGCGAATACTGCGCGCGGGTCTCGCCCCGCCAATGATGCAGCACCAGGTACTCACGTCCAACGCTGATGTAGGACATGGTTCATACCACGAAGTGCAGCTCAAAGCCTATCGCATCAACCATAGAAATCTGGGCTCATCGATACGGCGCTGACTTGCGTATATGCGACAGCTCACAGACACGGGACATGGTCATCTCCTCCTTTCTTGGCACCTGTCGAGCTCGACGAAGACGATGATGATGACTTGAGACTTTCGATGACGGACGGACGAGACAACTGATTCCACATTCCAGGTAAGACCGTGGACTGGCCATAATCATTATACCGGTACTCGACGCGCGTACAACGAGGAGGACAACCAAGAGTAGAGAGGCCGATCCTCATCGTGCGTGCGTACGTGCAAACAGTAGCACCTCGCCAGTAAGCAGAACGCTTGATTCATTGCTTTGACGTGCTTTCCAGTAGTAGCTCATTACGCACTACATCGGACCGAACGCCACTTGTCAGCTGGAACGAGTATCGTCAGCCGGTATTCGACCATCTGGAAAGAAGCAAATGGTTTTGGCGTTCTGCAGCGTCACTTCGAGCAGCCCGTCATGCTGTTTCAACATAGTCGTGCCATCTGGAAACACAGAAAACTCGTCACCGTTTGCGGAAATGGTCTTTGTTGTGCCGTCGGTAAACTGGATCTCAACCGTGCCGTCCGGCAAAGTGGTCTCAATCTGCTGATTCGCAAATTCGTACACTCTGCGGCTGTCTGGGTACGTCGTCAGCGTCGTCTGAGCCTCGTAGTAGGAGTATACGCTGACTCCAGTGTCCGGAAAGAACTATAGCAGCAACATTCATCACAACGATTCGGTCATGAACAAGTACTACCAATATCCGCAGCACAACAACAGCAATCGTTGTACCTCTTGACGGTCACCATTCGCAAATTCAATCACGAAGTGGCCACTAGCGTCAATGTCCTTTTTACTGCCGTTCGGAAACATGATTGTTCTACTTCCATCCGCATACGACAACTCCCTTTTCCCACCCCTCTGCCCTACCTCTTTCACCATAACCTTGAGCTCCAATGGAGATGTTACCGCTAAGGTCACACCTTTCTTCTCGCGAGCACTGCATTGGCGGTCGGTGCAGCCAATTTCGTGCTGATCGTCGTCGTTTCTAACGATAGTGAAAACCCATTCAGACGTTGCAGAATGACTTGCACGCGCGTGATTCGCGTCGCTGGTAAAGTTCGTTCCACTTGGACAATCCATTCCACCCGTAAGGACCATGGACACGCACGAGTGATGAGAGTCCTCGACTGCTAACTTACTGCGCTCCCGTTCGCCGCCGTTCACCCTGTTATGATGATGGCAGCCCGAGAACGCCGTGCAGTCGTTGTTCATGTCATCTTCGCATGTGTTGTCGTCAGAAGAAGTCCATTGCTGTGCATTTCCTTCGCTAGCGCAAGTGAAGCCATTTTTTTCGTGTAAACCGTTCTTCATACTGAGCACAGAAGGGAATGTAGAAGGCACGTCGGACTTTGTTGTCAATCTAGAAGCCTCTCGTGTGTCTTTCAGACGCCGGTCATAGTCTCCCTCCTGCTCGGAGTGACACTCCTTCAAAAACTCGACTTCGTCACTTAGCTCACGATTTCTCTCTTCCAGTTCCTGTACAACAGCTTCCAGTTTCTGTGCAACAAGCAACGAGCACACGCATGACACGCGTTTAGCACAGAATAACCGACAGTCGACGGACAATTACGTACGGAAACACGTCGCTGCAACTTGCTGGTTGTCGCCTTCCATTTGTCTGCACGCACTTTTTCATCAACTTGCATATTCACAATCCGCGCCTCGAGCATTCCTACCTCCGCACACTCCTTTTCGTTCGGTTGAGCTGCTGCAGTATTCTCACGCAGCTTGCATTGTCGCTGATGTAGCTTCTCCTCGTTCATTTTTGTGCGCTCTTGCTCCCACTCTTCTTCGATCAACGTTCGCTGATGCTGCTTACATTGTGCAACTTCGCCCCTCTCGGCAGCCAGCTTCGTTACTTCTAGGTCGTAGCATTCTTTTTGATGCTGCAGCTGCAGCGTCTCTGCTTGATTCAGCCCAACATCGTTGTCTAGCTCACAAAGTGCCTCTCCTAGTACAGCGGGTAGTATCATACTAGAGTCAGCAATGTGCGATTCTCGGTTTCGCGATTGCGCACGTTTGCCGTTCCTGGTTCTTTCCTCTTGCATCGCTGTGGTACAAGAAACCGCAGTACTCTCCAACTTACTTTGCCACGTTTGTCCGTCATTATCGCGTCTTCCTTTGGTCATTGACGTTCTGGTGGCGGTCAGATGTTGCTTGCCCCGAAGTTTGTATTCGACAGCAGATTTAGCACCGTCCTGGAGGGATTGCGTCAGCACCCTCGCGGACGGAGCCGCCCGATTTTCTCGTATGCTGCTGTTGCTGTTGCTGCTGCTGCTGCCGATCGGGCTTGTGTCGCCTTCGTCGAAAAGACTGCCACCATCGCTGTTTCGACTGTGATCGACGTCTACCAGAACTTGCTGCGCCAACAACGAAACAGAGATGCCGCCTCTTGGGTCACCACTTTCAGCGTCATGTATGTGTCGTTTGTCATTCGTTCGACAACCGTGAGTCACCAAACGTACTCGACCTTTGGCTGCTCGGTGCCTGTCAGTGTCACCAGTGAACTGGCCGTCATCGATGCACGAAGCGAGCACGGTAGCAGCAACATCGTTTGGACATCGATCGTGCGCTGCACTTTCTCGCGGTCGCGCCGACGCACCGTCATGCCATGGCCCAGCATCGTCGAGACTCGAAGCACTCCACTTCGAAGATACGTCACGATGAAACTTGCGGGATTCAGAATGCTTTTCACATGCATCGACCGATTTCTTGCGTTGAGACCTCATGCCACGCACCGACAACAGGGAATCGCCGGAAAATACCGCTGCCGGATCAGCGCGGTCGTCACGACTGTCATCAAACGACAATGACAACCACGACTCCGGCCTGGTCGTCTGCCACCTCGAGTGGCCGACTTCCCCCACGTCCGCTACGAGCGACACACGGGATTCGGCCCAGTCGGTCCCTTCCGACTCGTACCCATTCACTACCTGCTTTTGCGCGTGCGGTGGCAGAGTCAGCTGTTGCTGCAGCTGCAGCTGCTGTTGGTCTCGCTGAGACGCGGCTGTTTCCTCGACGAGACGGCGCTCAATGGCCTCAAACTCGGCAATCTCCTGCGCTTCCCGCTGTTCCTTTGCTTCCCACGACTGCCGCGCGCTCGCCATACTCATCCCGTCCGAATCGTATGCCGTCCACGGACACAACGCGTGTTGTCCAGCTAAAGCGTCGCCCCGTCCGCGCACCATCCACTGCCTCTGCGGCTACTGCCTCTGCGGCTACTGCCTCTGCGGCTACTGCCTCTCCGACGGTCGTGGCGGCAGTGCTGTGGCAGCAGTGCAGCTGGCTGCCGCTTGTCCGTCGACGCCGAGCAGAAGGCAACCGATCGCCGTCTTTTTGACGACGGGCTCGTGCTCACGGGTCCTGTAGCGCAACAAAACAGAGTCGCAATCCGTTTGAAACGAGCGACTCGAGAGCTACAGCGGCGGTGGCAGCTGGACACGCACCTGTGACACGAGGACGAGTGTCTGCTGAGAGGTGCAAGCGGAAGGGCGCGGACCAGCACCCGCGGACGTCGAGCGCAGCTCCTGTCGAGTTTCGGCGCGAGAGGACGGGGACGAGGCCCAGCGTCCGATTGCTAAGGTACCATGCGTTTAATCGTTGGGGTACTGTGCGTTTGATTGTTAGATACCGTGCGTTTGATGGTTGGGGTACTGTGCGTTTGATGGTTGGGGTACTGTGCGTTTGATGGTTGGGGTACCGTGCGTTTGATTGTTGGGGTACCGTGCGTTTGATTGTTGGGGTACCGTGCGTATACTTGTTGGGGAAGTTTTCACCGGAACCTGATTTTGATTGACTGAAACCCGTCGGCACACTCGGTCGCGTATTTACGGATGTAAGAAGCTGGTGGCTTGGTTTGTCGTCGTTTTTACGCCGTGGACAAACGGGTGGCTAGTAACGACCGGCTGTACAGGACGACGACCAGCGAAGCAAGCCGGTTGTTCCGGACCATCATTTCGGGATTGACGCACATCTCGGCCCCTTGGCAGTTTGTATGTATTCACTGGGAGCATGATGATCTTTTAATCTCTCGATGCATTCACGACGGTCATCTGAGCTTGTAAATACACTTGCAGTGGTGAAAATCGAGAAACAAACTAGTGCTGAACCTTCCAGTGTTCTTGTGTGTCGTCTTGCATTGATACGAGAGACTTTGATTGTAGGCGCGGAAATGACGAACCTCTTGTATCTGTCAATCCACTGAGAGTGACGGTGAAGAAGACACAAGTAAGCTTTTTAACTGCAATCGCGATCCGCCCACCATCTGTACACTGTCCATTTACGTGTGCTCATCTAGCCAAAAGGCCGCGCTTGTTGTTCGATGTGCCAGTGCATTTTTGATATAACGCTAAGCGTAAGGTAGGAACGATAGGCCAGTGCAACACGATTTTTCGTACATAGATTGAAGCAAAGAAAATGAAAGTGCTCAACGCTGTCTAGGTGTAAGAGAAAACTGCATATGCATGTCGGCAAAATGGATCGAGACAATACATCATGAGATCCGTGCCCCACTCACAACCCGATCTGCCGACCCAATTGGCGGGCCCGCAGCAGTATTACCCATGCCTGCGCTGCGTCGAGTTGTTGCAGCTCACTGAACTCCGGCCTGCCTATGCCCATGTTCGCCTTTATTACGTTTTCCGGCGTGTCGCTCATAGCGCTGACAAGGTGCCTCTGCGCAAGCTTATTCGTCTCAAGAGCGGCAACAACTTCGAAAGCTTCGTCCATTAAACTCTTATCGCTGCCCTTCGCAACAATGTCGTTCTTTATGCGGCTAACAATTAACCCATTGAGTGCCTTGTACTGGACGCTGTCTCGGGGTGTCTGATCGGTCACCTTCAGCTTTTTCTTCATAGTCTCCAGATCCCACTTACCCTTGACAGCCTCTTCCGCATGTTCCTCAATCTTCTGAAGAATTGCTTTCTGCTCCTTCCTCGCAGCCTTCTCTACGAGTTTAGGCTTCATGATTTTTCGCTGGTCGACTATTTTGGTAATAATGTGAGCTTGAACCAGGAGTTCGGCGGCCTCCGCATCCTTTCGCGACGCACCGTTCGCCGATCGAGTCAGCGAACCAGTGATATCATCCACGTGCCTTGTCTCGTCCATAAGAGGCCCAAACCGCTTTAAAGCATCCGGATTCTCGTTGATGCGCTTATAGAAATACTTACCCCTTTCGACAAGTTCGGCATCGTCACTATGCTTGATGATGTCGTCGAACCACCGGCTCAAGTACTTCGTCGAGTAGATGACGTCTGGATCAAGACCCCGATCGAGATCGTCTTTATCGACGACACTCCGAAACTTTTTCGCCGTCATTTTCGGGTCCGTAAGCGAGTCTTTGTACTTCTGTACAGTCTTATGGCGCTCTGTCATGACTTTCATCATCGCATGGCCGCTCACCGCGGGTTCCGCGACGTCATCCAGCTTCTGCACGGTTTTCGGTCCCCAAAGCAACTCATCCACGCGTGCCGGTGTCACAACCTCCCCTTCATCGACGCTCTTCAGTGTGGGAGTGATTTTCGTCCCCGGTTTCGTCCTCAGAGATTGCACCTTCGGCGCGGTATTCGTTGCCGGTTGCATGGACACCCGTCCAGCTTGCGCACCAGATGTCGTACTCAATGGGTAACTCGTCTTTGCGATCTCCGCACGTTTCAAAGCTGCACCATGTGCTATGCTTGCAGTCGACTTCCCGGCAACTGGACTGAAACCGAGTAAAGAGGATAAGGATAAGAATCGCTCTTCCTCCGTCGGTGAAAGCTTATCTTCCTCGTCCCCATCGTCCTTGTTCTCCTCATCTTCCCCGTCCTCGTCTCCGTCATCTTCATCGTCCTCCAACTTGTGCACGCGTAACGATCTCTTGCTGACGCCAGGATCCGACTGGGTGATCTGGACCGGCGGCTGTGCTACGTCAGCGACGGACAACGACTTGAGCTGCTGTAGATCAGGGACCGCACAGACGGCATTACCGACGGTGGTCAGGACAGCAATGATGTAGCTCAGATGCATAGTGAGCAACGAGACGACGTCGAGGAGAGAGAGAAGGCGCGAGTGCGAGTGTGTTGCACGAGTGAACGGTTGAGAGCGAAATGAATAATGAGAGCTCTGCACTCCCCCGTCAGGATCCTGGCATTCCCTTTGAGCTGGACGTCCATCGATTGCACGACAGCATACTGACAACGCGACCAACCGGGAAGGCCTTCGGTGCACAAAAGTCACGTTTACCCATCACAGCGCTTTCAGAGATAACATACCATGATCTGCCAGGCTTGACTAACTTGAGCAAAGGCGTCTTGTGCTTCGTTCCAACGAAATACTGAATCTAGATGGGCTCGCATCCTGCGACGTTCTTCCATCCCGTTGTAAACAAAGAAGGGTACTTTCTAGGCACACGTCGCTCTTGTCCGATTCCCACGTGCTTTTGCTGTCCGTTAGGAGAGAGCATCTAGGGACAAGTCCGACCGTCGGTTGTCCACGGACGTGCGCCGACACGACTAACACATGCGGACATGAATGTTCAAAACTGCCATAGTGATCGTGCCATGAATTCAGCATCGAAGAGAGCTTGCGTAGTGCAGGAGACCGCCCACAGTGTTGTTGACAGCAGATCACGAGACCAAAATTTACGACACCACGAAATGCGCTACAAGTGTCTCAGTATCCCTCGAGCCATACGATGATGCAACATCGCGCTGTAGCAAAATCAAACGGCGCTTACGTGGCCTCAAGCTGCCGTCGTTTCTCACCTTGTACCCTCGACACCAAACTGACGCTGTCAATGTGGTAAATGCCGTGGAAAGGGGTCAACAGGCCGTGTACAGACAGCGGAAACGCTGACTCTTGTTGGTAAAAGAGATGACCGTGGCAAAGGTTTAGCCATTGTGACTGCTATGGTTGAGGAATACCCGCGTCACGGCAGAGATCGTACTTGAATCACGTGTTCTCGCAGACGTGCGTGATAGCAGCTGCAAGGACACTTCAGGTCACTGGCCCGCATCGGCACTCTGCGCACCAGTCTTATTCCAAAGACAGAAATTGGGTACAGGTCGCGACGTTCGCAAAGCGGATTTGCTGACGCTGGTCCCAACAGCGCTTTCGCATCCTGCGCCACTTCCATCAGACGCCCCAGCTTGCCATTCACAAGACCAGTGTCTATTGCAGTGGGATTTTGTTATGGCGTGACCCCATAGACTCACATGGAAAGGATAGACACTTTTGTGAGACCCCATTAGGAAGGATACCCCTTGAAACAATTTCATGGGTACATTGACCGGTACGCACGCGTTTTCACACATAGCGCGCCCACCCGTTCTCGTCTTGTCGCACCAGCAAATCCCACACTGAATTTTTGCCTGCGTTGTCTCTTCCTGAGAAATGTTGTTGGCTTACAACTCCGTTGGACTCTGATTGTATCAGAGTCCAACGGGGTTGAATGCTACCACAGCGGTTGTCTTCGTTTCGCCGAGCATTCAGTCGCCGTCCAGTGGTGCAAAAACACGCGCAAGAGCCTGCACGTCAGAACCACAGATGTTCTTGTAGCTTGTATAACATGAGGTATTTCCACGTAGTGTCAGGCGAATCAAGTGCAGGAAGTTGTGTGGAACAAAGAAGGAGTACGCAACTGCAAACATCGTCGGTTCACGAGACACGATCCGCCGCTCTTCCGCCAACGAACAGTGCTGCCCAGTCACGTCCCGATGCTTCGTGATCTTGCCGACGTTCCGGGTCATGACTAGTACATCGCGCTTATCGCTGAACAGCAAACACAGTTTGAATGCGCGTCTTGGGCTTTTGCATCGAATATTGTCAGGCAGTAGCTATGCGCATAGATGCAGCTAGCTATGCGCACATATAATCGTTATCATGGATGAGGACGGATACGCGCAGCTTCTGATATAGTCTGGTCCTATGCGAAAGCATTGTAAACCATTGTAGCTTTCATGAACTATCACTAGGCATCCTCGAACTCACCTGTGGTATCGTAAAGGGAAACTTGTCAGGGAACGTGTTCAACACACAGCAACGGTGCTGGTAGTAGTACTTCCAGCAGTCTGCTAGTCTTCGAGTGTAACAATGGTACGCTTTGGTGGTACATCCACAATATAGATGAATGTATTCATTTTTTCGACAAACAAAAATCAACTGCCCTCAGGATGCGATCAATAGGAGATTGTCACATAATAATAGCCAAAACATGATCTGTCATTTTGCAGATTCAGCGATATTAGGTCGATAGGTGCAGAGCAATCGACTCGACAGCATTCCGGGATCTGTTGTTCGAGCAAATTTAGAAATATATGAGAGCGGCATACAAATGCCAATCCAAAGGCACACTATGTTGCATATCGTAAACGATTCCGACAAAGTTGGTACCTCTAAAAATAATGTATAGTTTGACTCATTGCAAAATTTTAGTCGCAACAAATGCAAAGTTGTCTTTACTATACAGTAATATAAGACTGAGATCAACTTAATGTATGTGTGAGCAGTATCACAATGCTAAGTCAGATCGGCAATTTTCTGAATTTAAAATTCAATTATCGCTCGTACACGTTAGATATTCGAATGCACAGTCAGCTGTTGGGACGTGACGTGTGTCGATTAACGGATACAAGATCTGAAAGGATACTAATTTATGGCATTATTGTCTAGATTAAGTACGTTTAGGTTAAGCTGTCCTTTATCATAAGACAAAAAATCGAGCTCAGTTACGCTTCTGATCCGTTAGAGGCACGTGTGTTGTTAAGGCCTCTCAAGGCGGTTAAATAATAATCAAGCCTTGCTAAAGTGACGGCTCTGAGCACTCTGTGCTGTTGATTTGCTGAATCGTTTGATCTCTGAAACAAGGACCTTAAGCCTTAAGGTTGTTGATTTATTGAGTCGTGTCCTTTTCAAAACTAATTTGTTCGTGAGGAAAAGGTCTTCCTCTCAATAAGAGCTCTACCAGCTCCGCTAGATTGTCTGTACGAGACCATAAAATTTTGCTCCCAGTTTGTCCGCTGCACCCGAGTCCTAGCCACGATTTAAAAGTCTGGTAAGGCAAGGAAATCATAAACTTCCAGTGAGATCGGTGCGCCCTACTAGGATACAACAGGTTTTGCTGGTCTAAGAAGAAGGTATGGTACGCAAGGCTTATCCCCTCAAAGGTCTGTGCTCGATAAACATAGCGGGCGTAAAAGCCTATACATATTGTATAATACAAGTCGCTGCAATTGTTGTGTGGGTTATTGTCATCATATTGATACCGTGCCACCTAGACGGTGCGCACGATTGATATGCCATTAAGTAAACGCTTGTACATCATGTCTATCTTAAACTTCTAATTGCGTGCAATCATTACGCATTAAAGTTTGATAAAAAAGACATCCATTTTGGTCACGAAATCGTTCAATGATTGTGTAGATACTGCTTGAACTATTGATTTTGTTGGCCTAAAACGTTTTTTCGGCGCTACGAGACCGCGTGGCAAGCTGTCCGATGAGTGAAAACAGTGAGTTTTGATCCTAATCGTGGTCTGCTGCTCAAAAGGCGAACTGGCTAGGTCATCGAGACAGTAAATGAGACGACGGTGTACAATATAATTAAAAATGATAACGTTAATAGCATGTGGCTAAAGATATTCGTATTATCATAAAAACGCTATAATGGTACTATATATTAGAAATCAAACATTATAAAAGGCCCGACCGATCGGTTGTACCCGTTTCTTTTACACCATATTCATCGTGGGCATTATTTCTCTGTGGTCAAATTTATTTGTAAGATGATCGCTTTCTACACGACGTGCAAGTGGAATCGATATTGTCACCTCGCTCTTTGTGTCGAATCTCAAGCCGCTTTAGATAATAAAGGCTCTCTCTTCAGTAATCGATAATGATCGCGATGTTCTAGAACACAGTAGCGCGATGTTCCGGTACAAAATGATATCATATAATACGACGAGTGTGTATGTAAAAAGCTTTCACAACACAGCAAATTTTTTCGCAAACCGCTACGGTGAAGATATCATGGATAACTTCAGAGCGAAAATTCCTTTTAGGCACACGATTTACAATTGAATATTATGCATCATAAAAACAACGCACGACAGTACAACTCAATTAAATATCAGCACAAATAATGCTGTCTAGCTATATTTGATTGCTTAAAACAAGTTTTTTACATTGTACTTAGATGATGATTACATGCTTAGACAGATATTTATATTGATGCATTGGGGAAGTAGTGTAACGCGGTATCGATATAACCAAATCACTCCCAGTTCATTTAGGATATGCATCAATCGTTAAATTTATGACTTAAGTATCTCCTAAAGTTCAGAGCTTAAATAATACACACTTATCATTTAGGAGATGACTTCTCGACAGAATTAATAGCCTTATCAAATCGTGAATCTTTTGCATCTCTCTTCATCGATATGTTGTGAAAAATAAAGAAACTACAGTCATATGCTCATAAACCTAGATCGACAGCCCGAATATCTTACGCATTAGTATGACAAGGTAATATCCACAAATCAACCCCAGCATACGTAAATTATATAACTGTGCGACAACATAATTTCTACTGTCAGCTTCAATATATCTGCGTCCTTTTTATCGGTATAATTGATGTAATATCAGCAAACAAGGATACATCAAATATACAGACGAATTTCATATATTCCGACGATAATGTTATGTCAGCTTTTTATTCTTGAACGTAAAATCGCACTTACTAAACGAGAATGTATAAAAGTTGAAATTTGGCTGTTTTTTCTTCTTCTGATGATACTAAAATATTGTTGTAAATTTATTCATTTTTCGCACATGATAATTTTTTTGTTTAAATTACAAATACAGTGTCATAGCTATAGACGAATGTCTTATTAGATGAATATTTATCGTCTATATTATCATAATATACTTTTTATGAATTAAAAATAAGTATTATGTAACAAAAACAAATGCTTCATATAATTGAAAAATAAAAATGCATCAGTGAACAAAAAACGTACAATTTTTTAAGGG